CCAGCTGGTCCTCAGTGTGTGTTTTCTTCCTTGCTTCCATTTCAGTTTTCAATTCTTGAACTGTTTCCATTACCTGTTTGATCTTTTTTTCTTGGTTTTCCAGGGTATCATGTACGTATTTACTCATTTCTTCAAACTTTTTGTTATACTTCTCATCCATTTCTATAAGGGCATTTTTTACATGTTGTTTAAGGGATTCTATTGCTTTCATAAAGTCAATTTTTTTCCACTTCTTCTGTGTTAGGGTGTTCAAGTCCTTCTGTTGTAAGATGATTGGGTTCTGGTGTTTTCATGTTGTTTTTCAGATTGTTGGGTGAATTCTTGCCTTGGTGCCTGCCCATCTCCTCCTATCCATGCTATTTAATGGGTCTTTTAAAACAGGATCAGGTTTCCCTGCTGGCCAGGGGCCCCACTTACAAAATGCCCTCGCTCTGTTTCCTGGCTCCTGCCACGGGGCAAGATCCCTCTCACCACTCAGATGGATCTTCAGTACCAGGACCAGGCTCACCGTTCGCCACGGACCACTCTGCAGGCCAGCCACCAAAACAGAGAAACTCCCGCTGCCCTTTACCCCTAGCTCCCAACCCAGCGCCCCAACAGGCTAAACCGGGTGATCCCGCTGCCCTGTGGAAGGTAGGGGGAGTGAAGGACGCCCCTGGGCACAAGCTGGGATGGTCCAGGGAGAGAGAGGTTGCAGCAGAGGAGGAGCAGCCCCAGCAGAGGGGACCAGCCCTTGCAGACTAATGGGGCGGGGTCAAGGGGGTCAGGGAATGCCCCCGCTCCGTTTCCTGTGTCCCGCCGTTGGCCAAGAACACTCTCCCCACTCAGCAGGGTCTTCAGGGACAGGACCAGGCTCTCTGTTCACCTGTGGACCTTGCCAATAAAAGGCCTACCACTCTGCAGTCCAGGCCCCAAAGAACCTACTTGATTTAATTGTAGTGTGGCGGTCTGCTCTCAGTGTGGGCTTCACTGTTTCATGCTTGGACTATCCCGCATCCGCTGCATCTGCGCGCCGGATGTCTGCCGCACATTCTCCAATTAGTTCTTTTACATAAACTGAAGTCTCTTGTGTTGGGGATATTTGTTGCTGATCCCAAAAATTACTGCAAGCACTGTTGGGAGGTGTGGGCTTGTTGGAGGAAGTGTGTCACAGGGGTGGACTTTGAGATTTCAGATGTCCAAGCCAGGCCCCCCATGTGTCTCTCTTACAGCCTACTAATCTGGATGTACAACTCTTCGCTACTTCTCCAGCATCATATCTGCCTGAATGCATCCATGGTCCCCACCATGAAAATAATGCACTAACGCTCTGAACTTGTAATCTGCCATCAATTAAATGTCTTCCTCATAAGAGCTGCTGTGGTCATGGAATTTCTTCACAGCAATAAACCCTAATAGCCACAGATATAAAACTAGTACAATATGTTCACATGTGAGCACCTCCATGCCCAAGCATGGAGAGGAGAGAGGCCACACATTGGGGATCTTCCTCTATCACCCTCTCCCTTATTCATTGAGCCATGGTCTCTTACTTAATCTGGAGCCCTCTGTTTGGGTTGAACTGGCTGGCCAGAGAGCCCCATGGATCTCCTTGTCCACCCCGACTTCCCCTGGAGCTGGGATTACAGTTGCCCCTGTCTTAACTGTTTTCTGGGTTCCAGACACAGGTAGGTGCTCACGCTGGACAGCAAGCACTCTGCTCATATAGTCCTCTTCCCACCCAACACTGGGCTTGGCTTTGCACTTCTGATTCATGAAATCAACCATGTTTTGCATATTTTACTGGTCATCTTTACATTTTCTTTGAAGAAATGTCTATTTAAGGCCTTTGAATATATTTTTAATCAAGGTATTTGGTTTCTTTTGCTGGATTTTAGGAATTCTTGGTGTATTGTGGATATTATCTCTTACCAGATATGTAATTTGAAAATACATTCCCTGACTCCATGGGTTGCCACTTTGATAAGGTGATAAATTTTTTGAAGCACAAAATTGTTTGGTTTTCATAAGGTTTGATTGTTTTTTTTTTTTCTTATATGCGTTTGGTTGCAGAGCCTAGAAATCACTGTCAGGAGGCTTTCCTGTATTCCCTCTCAGAGTTTTATGCATTTTAGGTCTTTTATTCATTTTAAGTTAATTTTTGTGTATGGTCCTTAGGTTTAAGTATGACCAAATGAAGCCAGGTTCAAGCTCAAAAAAAAAGAAATTTATTTCTTTTAAATTTTTCAGTTTGATGGGGTATAGATTTTTAAAACATGTCATTATGATTCTCTGGATTTCCTTGGTGGCCGTTGTGAAGTCCTCCTTTTCTAATTTTATTAATTTGGAACTTCTCTTTCCATCTTTGAGTTAATTTAGCTAAGTCTTTATAAGTCTCATTAGTTTTCTCAGAAAACCAACTCTTCTTTTTATCTTTGCATTGCTTTTTTTTTCTTTTTTGGTGGTGGTGGTGGTGGTGATGGTGGTGGAGGTTTGTTCCTATTTTACTGCTTTCTACTCCAGGCTTGATTATTTCTTTCTGTCAGTTCTTTGGAGTGTTATTTTATCCTTTTCTAGAACTCTCACATATGCCATTGAGTTACTAATATGAGATCCCTCATTTTTATATAGTCACTAAGAGCTATATAAACTTGCCTCTTAGAATTGACTTCATTTTATCCCCTAGGTTTGGTTATCTTCTGTTTTCCTTTTCATTCAATTCTAATAACTTTTTTAATTTCTATCTTAATTCTGTCTTGAACCATCCTTCATTCAATAATAAGTTATTCAGTTTGCATGATTTTATAAAATTTCTATTGGTTCCACTGTTGTTAACATCTAGCTTTAATCTATGGTGGCAAGTTAGGATATAAGATGTTGCTTCAATTTTCTTACATCTTTTGAGACTTGCTTTGTATTCAAGTATATCGTCAGTTTTGGAGGATTTTCCATGAGATGCTGAGAAGAGAGTATATTCTTTTATGTGAGTGTGAGATATTATGTAAATATGGACTAGATTTATGATATAATTTAGATGCAGCATTTCTCTGTTATGTCTTTGTCTGGAATGACCTGTCTATTGGCAAGAGTGGGGTGGGGTATTGAAGTTACCTACTATCACTATGTGATGGACAATGTGTAATTTCAGATGTAGTAGTTTCTCTTTTATGAACTTATATGCCTGTGCATTTGCTGTATAATTGTTTAGAATTACAATATTCTCTTGGTGGATTTGTCCTTTGATGAGCATATAGTAAAATTTTCTCTATTTTCATCCTCAGTCTAGATATTTATTGACCAATTTTGTTGTTTTTAGTTCATTTAGGGATCAAGGCAAAAAATATATGTTTAGTCCAATGACAGACTTCTCTGTGTCTTTTAAATAGCTTTGGATTGAAGTTCTTTAGATATTATCATAGTTTCACCTGCTTTATTCTTAGGTCATTTGCTTAAAATGCCTTTCTCCATCCATTTACCTGAGCATGTCTTTCCTTAATAGTAAGGTTGTTTACAGAAATATAGATCCTGTTTTCTAATCCAGTTTGTTACTCTGTTTTTATAAAGGAATGAAGACCATTAATATTGGGAGCTATCTGTTGTAATAATTGGAGCCGCGGGGCTGCGTCCCCGGCACCCCCACTGCCTGCACGGCTAGCTTTAGCTTATGCCCCGAAATAATTACACGGAAACTGTATTCTTTTAAATACCGCTTGGCCCCTTAGTTTCAGCCTCTTAACCCATTTCTATTAATCTATGTAGCACCACGAGGTGTGCTTACCAGGGAGATTCTAGCCTACGTCTGTCTGGAGTGGAAGAATCATGGTGACTCCTGACTCAGCTTTTTCCTCCCAGCCTTCTGTTCTGTTTACTCCTCCCACCTATGTTTTAACCTATGAGGGCCAGCCAAGCAGTTTCTTTATTACTTAACCAATGAAATCAACAGATTGATATATGACACTCCCACATCAGCTATCAATTACTAGAACTTCTTGATTCCTGTTATTTTGTTGTTATAGTGTGGGTTTTCCCCCTTCTTTTGATTTATATAGTGTGGGCTTTCCCCCTTCTTTGGATTTACTGGTCTAGCCTTCTTCAGTAGGTTGCAATAAGCCAATGAATCATCTGCAAAGACAGGGATCAAAGACCAAGGGAATTCTCAGTCTGTATTCAGAGTTGTAATTTGCAGTAAATGGAGATGAGGTAGGAAGTACTGTGCCTACAATCAGACTAGTACAAGGATGGGGGTGAGGATGAAGAGATTGTAATAATGGAAATGAAGCAGAGTAAAAATCCCCTATCTGAACCCAGGTCTGGTGTGGTCACTGGAGATCCCAGATAGAGATGCTTCTCAATATCCCCGGCTCACACAAAGAAATGAGAATGGACTAGAAAGGGGTTGAGAGGGTCCACAGGAAGAGGGAAAGCTATGTCCATACCAAGTTTCAGCAAAGTTCACAGAGAATGGAGGTGGGGTCGGAGGAGGGGTACTTGCAAGCATACTGCTACAGTGCAGTGGTGAGAATGGAAAAGCAGGTACTTGCTCTTTAAATGGAGCAATGAAGCTGTAATCAAGCAGCCCACGCCCTGCCCCTACATCACCACTTGGAAGAGCAGCACATAGGCACAGACATTGGCATTGTGACTTCGTCATTATGATGCAGTCCTGTGTGGACCAGGGGAGAAGTAAGGTGGTAATAGTCTTCAAGGATCATTTTGTTCTCCCTCTTTTCTGGCCTTTTGGCAGGGAAAGGCCAGATGGCAGGCTGAAATCCAACTAAGCTTGTAGTTGCAGTCTCTAGTGAAGTCAGCTCCAGAAAGTCAGAGGATTCAATCACCTTCCTCAGGTAGTCATCTCTGTTTCCTATTCCACCATGACAGAGGACTATTTCCAAGTGTGAGTTGCGACAAACTGGAAACAGCTGACAACTTTTCATCACAGCATTGTAAGTCAAAAGATCTTGTCTATCAAGACTCTTACAGGCCAGTCAGTTGTTTACTAAGCTATCATCTGCCAAAGAGTCATGGACCAACCAGGCATAAGACAAGCAGGCCAAAGCAAAACAGACACGAATCAAGCAGTGATGAGCCCACCAGATGAAAGTCCATACAATACAAAAGAACCAGGGCCAAGCCAACCAAACATCAACCAGCCAAGCATGAGCCAACAAGACATGAACAAACCAGATGTGACAAGACCAGATGCAAGGCAACCAGATATGAACCAACCAGGGCCAAGCATGGACCAGCCAGTTGTGAGCAAACCAGACGTGGGTCAACAAGGTTTGAGGCAGCCAGACCCAAGCCAACTACATATGAAACATCCAGGCACAGGCCAACCAGGCATGAGTCAATCAGGCCTGAGCCAAACAGGCATATGGCAGCCAGGCCCTCCTCCTCCCAACATAAAGCAAACAAACTCACGACAATTGGGTTCAGCATATCCAGGCAGGAAATCACCAGAAATGTGGCAAATAGACCAAAGCAATCAGGAAATGAGACAATCAGACATTGTCCAACGAGACACAAGCAATGCAGGACAGAGACAACCTGATACATGGAAAACAGATCCAAGTTATCCAGGAATGAAACAAACAGAACCATGGCAATGGGAGCCAGGTTCTCCAAGCTTGAGACAAACAGATGCATATCAATGGAACCCAAGCCACTTAGGCAAAAAACATTCAAATTCATGGCAAACAGGCCTACATCACCCAGTCATCAAACATTTAGAATTCAAAGAACCAAGTCCAACTGAACGCTGTACGAAACAACATGACACAGCACAACCAGGCCCTCCTAGTCAATCAGGTATGAGACTGCCAAGCCCAGGACTACCAGGTCCCAGTCAACCAGATATGAGACAATATGACACATGGCAATCAAGCCAGAACCAACAAGGCATGAAAGAGTTGAGTCCTTGGCAACCAGGCCCCAGCTCACTAGGCAAGAGATTGTCAGGCACATGGCCATTGGGCCTTAGCCAACCAGGCATGAGACAATCTGACACATATCAACTAGGGCCTACTCATCCAGGTATGGAATGGTCAGATACACAACAACCAGGCCCTAGAATACCAGATACGACACAATTAGACATGAAGCAACTTGGCCACAGCCATCTAAGTGTAAAAATTTTAGATACACGACAATCAAGCCTCAGTCAACCAGCCATGGCAAAACCTGACACTTGTCAATCAGGCCTTAGCCAATCAGGCATGAAAGAGTTGGACACATGGCAATCAGGCACCAATCAACATGGCATTAAACAGTTGGATTCATGGCAATGGGGTCCCAACTCCCCAAGCAGAAAACAATCAGGCAAATGGCCAGCAGGGCCCAGCCCTCTAGGTATGAGACAATTGGAATCATGGCAACCAGGCCCAAGCCAACTGGGCATGAGATATTCAGACTCATGTCCATGGGGTCCATGCCACTCAGCAATGAGACACTCAGATTTATGGCAACCAAGCCAGTCAGGCACAAGACAATCAGATGCATGGCAAACATGCCCAAGCCACCTTGGCATGAAACAATTGGATACATGGCAATCAAGTCCCAACTTCCCTGGTGTAAGACAATTATATACATGGCAGCCAAGCCCCAGTTGCTCAAACACAAGACAATCAGAAAAATGGCACCTGGGTCCCAGCAACCCAGACATGAGACAAACAGATATTTGGGAACCAATACCAAGGCAATCGAAGACAAGCGCCAGCCAACTGGGTACATGTCAAGAAGGCATGGAACCATATGAGACAAGTCAACCAGAAACTACTCAATTAGATAAAAGTCAACCAGACACCACCCAACCAGGCCTAGGAGAAATGACACCATCAGATACATCAGAGCCAAGTCCAAGTCAGCCAGAGACAAAAGCCAGCCCATCAGACACTACCAGCCAATCAGAATCAATTCAAGTAAGCGATAGTCAACCAAGTAAAAGTCAATTAGAGCCAAGTGAATCAAGCACGAGTGATTTAAGTAAAAATCAAGAAGGAATGCTCCAATTACCAATGAGAAAGACAAACTCTGTTCCTTTCAAAATAAGACCTGCTGCGCCTCAAGACTGCCCAGATATTCTGCGACTGATCAAAGTAAGCCTGTATTTTCTTAATTCTTAGAAATTAGTGCAGGGCTGAAAGAACAAAATGAATGCAAAACTTAAACGAAAGTCTAAATTTGAATCTAGCTCTGTTATTTATGATCCATAAACCTTTATAATCTTCATTTTTCATATAAATCAAAATTATAGTAATTGCTACAAGAGATTGTTGTGATGTTTTCTTTATATCCAGAATACAAATTTAAAAAAAAAATATGAGATTTGGACTTGGGAATATAGCTTCATTGGTAAAGCATATCCAGAAGTCTGTTCACAGATATATCCCATGAGTCTAAAGAACGGAGAGAAAATTTTCTTATGCACCTGTTCATTTTAATGTCTTTCCTAGAAACCATATCAGTACAGTAAAGGTGACAATGTTGATCAGAATGAACTCTTATGCATATAGTATTGTTACCACATAGTTGAAATGTTGCAAAAGTGTGTTTTTTCCTGAACTGTTGCTTTTCATGCTCTATTCCAACTGACCAAGACCATATAAAGAACACATCTTTATAAATGTGTACTAACTGTTATGGAAATGATATGATATGGACGTGATAGGATGCTAATAATGAAGTTATATTCTTATGTCTGGAATTTTTGGAAAAAAATTAATAGTCCTTTTGTCTTATTTAGGGCTACTATTGCTGTTATGAAACACCATGACCAAAAGCAACTTGAGAATGAAAGGGTTTATTTTTCTTACATATCCCAAACCATAATCCACTGAAGAAAAACAGGACAGGAACTCAAACAGAGCAGGAACCTGAAGACAGGAGCTGATGCAAAGACAGTGGAGGAGTACTGCTTACTGGCTTGCTCCTCATGTCTTGCTCAGCCTGCTTTCTTATAGAACCCAGGACCACCAGTCCAGGGATGGCACCACCCACTATAGTTTGGTCCCTCCCACATCCATCAGTAATTAAGAAAATGCTCTATAGGCTTATATGTAATTGATTAAATATGTGCAGTCTTAAAATGCCTGTAGTCTGATCTTATGAAGGCATTGTCTCAATTGAGGTTCTGTCCTCTCAAATGATTCTAATCTGTGTCAAATTGACACAAAATGGTCTAGCATATTGCTTTATTTTGAAGAACTTAAACTTATTTCAGTTTTATACATCAGTAAGACCTATTCAGGAGTAGAAATATTCTGTTGTATTCTTATACTATAATATGGGAAGATGTAATATTTTCAATTTTTGTGAATGCAAAATATATTTTAACTCTGGCTTTCCTGGACAAATAAAATAATGTAAATTAAAAAAATAATGTCAATGAAAGTTTGAATACAAAAGAATATAACAAAATCATAATAGTATAAAAAAATTTAATTGTTTAAAAATCATAATAGTATAAGAAAAGTTTTTAAATTCTTTAATGTATAAGCGCATATGTATTTTCATGTGACTGACATAATTGGATTTGGCATTGTAAATTGAAAATTGATGCATAAACACGTAAGATTTTATTGTTGCATTTGTTCAGTTCATGTCTAGGCAGTCATGACTGTAACTTCTGACATTGCTAAGTAAGCAAAAAATATATGGGAGGGAATAGAGGGAGAAATGATGTAAATATAGTATAATCTCAAAAATAAACGAAAAATGATTTCATAAAATTTTCAGAGCTAACACAATGAAACTTTTGATAAAAATATTAACCAAATTCATAGCAAATATAAATTTATTATTCAAAGTATGAAACATCAATAATGATTTATATTGGATTGACATATATGGTTTACCTCCAGAAAAGGAATGCTCTGTGAGTTTAATTGCCTGGAATTTGCCAAAAGCAAGATAGTGTGTAAATATGAGAAGCAAACTTCTGAAGCTATTTCAAGAACAATGGAGTTCTTTATTTTTTAATAAATAATTTTAACATTTTATTTTATTTTCATTTTAAATTCTAACTACAGTTCTTCCTCCGACCTTTCTTCCCACCCTCCCCCTTAACTTCTTCCCCCAGCCCACCTCTTATCCACTCCCCCCAACAGGTAAGGGCTCCTATGGAGACACAACAAAATCTAGCACATTAAGTTGGGGCAGGATCAAATCCTCCCCTCTGCATTAAAGCCGATCATGGAATCCCACCATAGGGAATAGGCTTCAACAAGCTAGCTCATGCACCAGGAATAAATAGCTCATGCCAGGGGCCCCTCAGATAGTTCAAGCTTCACCACTGTCTCCCACATATGGAGGGCCTAGGTCAGTCCCATTGAGGCTCCACAGCTGTCAGTCTAGAGTTCATGATTTTCCACAAGCTTGATTGAGCTCTCTCTGTAGATTTCTCCATCATGATCTTTACCTTTCTTGATCATATATTCCCTCCTCCTTCTCTTCAATTGGATTTCCGGAGCTCAACCTGGTGCTTGGTTGTAGATCTCTGCATCTGGTTCCATCAATTATTGAATGAATGCTCTATGATGATACCTGGGATATTCACCAATCTGATTACAGAAGGCCAGTTCAGCCAACCTCTCCACTACTGCTAGGAGCCTTAGCTAGTGTCATCCTTGTGGAGTCATGGGAATTTCCCAAGCAACAGATTTCTCCTTAACCACATAGTGACTCTCCCTATCAAGATATCCCTTTCATTGCTCTCCCACTCCATCCCTCCACACCTCAACTATCCTATTACCTCATGTTCTCATCCCCTGGATATGACAGATAGATATGAATCTATTTGCAATCTTCTACATGTTGACATCCAGTTATGCCAGTACCTTTTGTTAAAGATGCTTTTCTTTTTCCATTGCACTATTTTGGCTTCTTTGTCAGCAATCAGATGTTCATAGGTGTGTGGATTAATGTTAGTGTTTGATTCTATTCCATTGATCTGTGTGTGTTTTTATGCCAATATGAAGCTGTTTTTATTACTATATCTCTGTAATAGAGTTTGGAGTCAGGTATGGGGAAGCCTCCAGAAGTTCTTTTATTATATGGAATTATTTTAGCCATTTGTCTTTCCGTTTGAGTTTAGTATTTTTCTTTCAATGTCTGTGAAGAATTTTGTTCGGATTTTGATGTTGCATTAAATATGTATAAGATTGTCATTGTTATTATGTTGATCCTTCCTATTCAAGAGTATGGAAGCTCCTTCAACTTTCTGGTAATTCTTAAATTTCTTTCTTTAGAGATTTAAAGTTCCTCTCATACTTATTACTCTAGCTAGAACTAGAACTAGTACTATTTTGAATAGATATGGAGAGAGTAGACGGCCTTTTCTTGTTCCTGATTTTAGTGGAATTGTTTTGAGTTTCTCTCCACTTAGTTTGATATAGGCAGAGCAACAAGATTAGGAATATTCTGGGAAGAAGAAAGGCAGAGAGGCAGTCACCAGTCAAATGCAGAGGAAGTAGGCTGAGAATGCCTTACTGAGAAAAGGTACCAAGCCCCATGGCTAAACATAGACAAGAATTATGGGTTAATTTAACTTGTAAGAGCTAGTTTATAATAAGCCTGAGATAATAGGCCAAAGGTTTAAAATTAATATAAGCCTCAGTGTGTTTATTTGGAACTAAATGGCTGTGGGACAAGGCTGGACAGAAACATCCATGTACAAATGGCACCCAAACGTTTGGCACATAAGTCCCGAGAAAGTTTAAAAAATAAGAAAGGGTTTTAGACAGACGAGAAACACAGCTTCTTGGTAATCATATATTTTCCATTAGGCTCTGTTTTCTGGTAGTAAGAAGAGGTGTAGCTCATATAAGAGAGACTTTCTGACTCAGTATTAGTGGCAAAATCCTTGCAACTCTTTTAAGAGGCTCTGCTACCAAACACTTAAATGGTATTTATGAGCTACTGGCAGCCAAGGTGGTGGTATAGACCTTGAAACTCCAAAGACTTGTGGCAATAAATATGGCTCTGGCCAATATCTCCACCATGAAGCTAGGCTCTCAAAAAGCTAAGGAATTGGGCGGAGTCTGCCACCAAAGCCATAGCTTTAATCCTAGCCATATCACTTAGCAGATTAAAGATTCATGTGGTCAGAAAGAGATATATTCAGAAAAAGAGATATACAGTAAAGTTTGATTCAGACTAAAAAATTCCTCTAAATGGTTTATAGTGTATTTAAATATATATACACAAAGCTTGGAAGAGAAAAGAAAAAGAATAGAGAAAGTTCTTAAGAAAAAGAAATAGAGTAGTTAGGTGTGGTTCTTCATGGCTTTAATCCCATCACTTGAGAGGCAGAAGTAGATGGACCTATCTGAGTTTGAGGCCTACGGAGTTCCAGGACAGCCAAAGATACACAGAAAAACCCTGTCTCAAAAAACCAAAAATTAAAAATAAAAATAAAAGAAATAGAGTAAAAAAAAACACATAAAGATGGAAAATACACAGAGCATCTTGATATTGTATGTTATTGTGTTGTCTTGGAATTGACTGCTGAGGAAGGAACAACAGCTCCTCAAAAACATTTGATTAGAAATTCTTGATTAATCCAACATGTATATTTTGAAAATGCCTTGAATTCAAAATTTAAGTCAGAAGATACGTTTCTTTGGGAAAGAGATTCTGCTTTTATTTCTACCAGAAATGTGGATTCATTCTGGATTTTAAAAAAAATCAGGTTTGATAAAGGAAAACCCCCTGAAAAAGCTGATAGGAGCAGATGGTCCAGATGACACAATGTCTCAGAGCACCACTGTTGCAATTTCTTCTAAGTTCTGCATCCAGAACAGTTTTAAGCATGCTGACTGAAAGGATCCAGACTTATAGAATACTCCAGTCAGGACTTGACAATAATCCTAAATTTCTTTGGGTCCCCATAAGATTATCAGTGTCCCCAATCAGCAAGAAGTAGCCTAGAAAACTATGCCCACATTCCCAAAAATGGATTAGGGATGTTTGTCTTTGTTTTGAGTGTTGATTACAAGTTCTTATGGATAATGATCAAGAAAAAAAGATAAACAAAGAAAATTAGATTCAGAGTTCTTGTTTTGAAAAAAAAAACAGGAAATTCTGTGGGAACAATGCTCTTGTACACTGTAAAGATTTATCACTTGCATCAGCTTAATTAAACGCTGGTTGGCCAGTAGCCAGGTAGTAAATATAGGTGGGGCAACAAGACAAGGAGAATTTTGGGAAGAGAAAAGGCAGAGAGTCAGTCATCAGTCAAATGCAGAGGAAGCAAGATGACAATACTTCACTGAGTAAGGTACTAAGCCATGTGACTAAACATACATAAGAACTGAGAATTAATTTAAGTTGTAAGAGCTAATTAATAGTAAGTCTGATGTAATAGGCCAAACAGTTTATAAACACTCTGTGTGTTTCCTTGAGACTCAATGGCCCGAAAACTGGGTGGTACAGAAACTTCCATCTACAGTTTGATGTTGACTTCTGCAAGGTATAATATTGTTTTTATTATGGTTAGATATGTTCCTTGTATACCCAGTATCTCTAAGACCTTTATTGTGAAGGGGTGCTATGTTTTGTCAAAGGCTTTTTCAACATCTAATGAGATGATCGTGTGTTTTTTTCTTTCAGTTTGTTCATATGATGGATTACATTGACATATTTATATATATTGAACCAAACGTCCATCTTGGGATGAAGTCTATTTGGTCATGGTGCACGATTTTTTTTGATATGTTTGTGGATTTTGTTTGCCAGCATTTTATTGAGTATTTTTTGCATCAATGTTCACGAGGGAGATTGGTCTGTAGTTCTCTTTCTATGTTGCATCTTTGTGTTATTTGGGTGTTCATGTAACTGCAGCCTCATATAAGAAGTTTGACAATGTTTCTTTTCTGTTTATATTGTGTGGATAAATTTGAGGATTATTGGAATTAGCTCTTCTTTTAATTCTTGTATAATTCTGCACTGAAGCTTTCTGATCCTGGACTTAATTTGGTTGGAAGACCTTTAATGACAGCTTCTATTTCCTTAGGGAAATAAATTGTTTATTTATCTGTTCTTAATTTAATTTTGGTATGTGGTCCCTTTCCAGAAAATTGTCCAGAAATTTTTAGCTTTTCCAATTTTGTGGAATACCGGTTTTTAAAGTATGACCCAATCAGTCCATGGATTTCCTCAGTGTCTTTTTGTTATATCCCCCTTTTCATTTCTGATTTTGTTAATTCTGATGTTCTCTCTCTGCCTTTTGGTTAGTTTGGATAAGTGTTTGCCTGTCTTGATTTTCTAAAAGAATTAACTCTTTGTTTCTTTGTAGTTTTCTCTTTGTTCTAATTTATTAATTTTGGCCCTCATCTACTCCTCATGGGTTAGTTTGCTTCTTTTTGCTCTAGAGATTTCTGGTGTTCTGTTAATTTGATATTGTGGGATTTCTCCAACTTTTTAAGTAGGCATTAAGTATTATGAACTTTTCTCATTGTACTGTTTTCAGAGTGTCCCATAAGTTTGGGTATGTTGTAACTGCATTTTCATTGAAACCTAGGAAATCTTTTACTTCTTTCTTTATTTCTTCCTTGAACCAAGGATGATTCAATTGAGCATTATTCAGTTTCCATGGGTTTGTAAGTTTTCTGGAATTTGTGTTTAAGCCATGGTGATCTGATAAGACACTCAGGCTATTCCAATTTCTTATATCTTTTGAGATTTGCTTTGTGACTGATTATGTGGTCAATTTTAGAGAAGGTTCCATATGGTGCTGAGAAGGAAGTATATTCTTTGGTGTTTGGGTGAAAGGTTCTGTAGATATCTGTTAAGTACATTTGAGTCTTAGTTTGATGTGGAATTTTAAGTTTTAGTAATGTTTCTTTTACAAATTTGGGTGCCCTATTATTTGAGACATAAATGTTCAGGATTGAGACTTCCTTTTAATGGATTTTTTTATAATGATGATGAAACATCCTTCTTCATCTCTTTTACCTTTATTTTGCAGTCTAAATTGTTAGCTAATCAAATAGCTACGTGAGCTTGCTTCTTAGGTCTGTTTGGTTGTAAAGTCTTTCCCCAACCCTTTACTCTGAGAAACTATTCATCTTTTGTTGTGCCTGTGTCACAAGACCCCGAAACAATACCGCCCCAGAGCCAGTATCTGATGCAAACACAAAGGGTTTATTGAAGCAAGTTCAGCCTTGGGCAGCAACTCAGCACTCAGGAGACTGAGGACAGTCCTGAGCATTTACAGGGTAGTGTTTATAAAGGGAATAATCACAAAGGAAAACCACAAGTGGATCCCAAGCCTTGTCAGAAGGTTTTGAGGTAGCTGACACTTAACCTGATTGGTTGTGGCAAGGAAAAGTATAGAACTGTACAGTAGTAAAAAATACATCCTGCGTGGTTAAGGCATGTGGTTAGTAGCTGTTACTAGCCATGTTGTTAGTGACTGTCATCAATAATACCCACATCAGTCATACACACGATGGAGTTCAACTCATTTTGGGAACTTGGGATCACAAAGAGGTCATCAGATGGGTGGTCTTAGTTTAGTTCAAATTTGAGCATCACACTTTGAAGTTGAGGTGTGTTTTTGTATGCAGCAGAAGGATGGATCCTGTTTTCATATCTGTTCTGTTAGCCTGTGTCTTTTTATAGGTGAGTTAATTCTAGTGATATTAAGGGATATTAATGACCAGTGATTGTTAATTCCTGATATTCCCTGGTGGTAGTGTGTGCATATTTCCTTTCTTTAGGATTTGCTGATGTGGGATTATCTATTGCCTGTGCATTTTCTGTGTAGAACTACCTTGGGTTGCAGTTTTCCTTCTAGGGCTTTCTGTAGGGCTTGATTTGTGGATAGGTGTAGTGATATTTTATTTATGTTTTAACAAAGTTTGCATGAAAATTAGAGTGCAGAACTAAGCCACTAGAGGCCAGGAAGTGATGTCATACACCTTTAATCCAGGGACTCAGGAGACAGGCAGAGGGATCTCTGTTAGTTCAAGGCCATCCTGGGTTTTACAAGATTGAATCTATCTAAAAGAGAAACAGATCAATCAAAGGTGATCCCAGCACTTGGGATTACACACTTTTAATCCCAGTACTAGGTAAGTGGAGAGAGGACTAATATGACTGTGTTGTCTCTGTCTCACACAGTGAAATTTAGAGTCTAGAAGTTCTCTACAGTACATGTGAGACTGTGGTAGTTGAAATAAGGGGAATTTCAAATCACAGAAAAAAAAGGAGGGGTTTTTCAATTAATGGCATGAGATTGACAGAGTAGATTTGATGGTGACATTCTATCTCAGTGTTTACAGTCACAAAAGTATACACACAAAGCAATTAGTAAGAATGTAAGACGATAAACCCAGAACTTTGTAAAATTAATGTCCTCAACAAAAATAAACAAAGAAGAACAAGAATAAATATTTTATTACTTTTCAAGCATGAGATAAATATCACAAAAGAAATAATTTGGATGTATGATAATAATGTTAATAATAATAATAATAATAATACATGGCATAATTTTAAAATTCTGAAGTTACACTAGCAAAAGTTAAGCAAAAGCATGTCACAAATTTTTCTGTAAAATAATAAAAATAAACATTGTGATTTTGACTGCCCAGAAACAAGTTTTTCTTTACTTTACAGGTTCCTACTGGACCCAAAGCTAGTAACCCAGAAAGTTAACCTTCACAAAACTGAGATATCAAATTTATCATATGTCTGTTGTCTCTCTATAAGTCAACTATCATCTAGCTGCCAACTACATATCTACCTAATTTGTGTTGCATTGCTGCTTCATATTTTAATTTGTAGATAACTACGATCAAGTCTGACTTCTTTTTTAACACATCACAGGATACCTATGTTATAATGTTCAATAAATATTTTAAATATTATAAGATTTACTAAATCATCAGCTGAAAGTTTTTTCTCCTTTGACAGGAATTGGCTTCCTATGAAGGTATGCAAGGAGAAGTAACATTAACAGAAATGGGTAAGATGTTTTCTGCTAAGTTTCGAGCAGATAAAAACCGTGAATGCATGCACACAGAATAAATACACAGAAGCTGCTGCAATTGTTACAAAAAGTGATCCTTTTAGTAATAGTGAAATACACAATACACAAATTCCATGGCCTTTTCAATGTTCACTACTTTTCATTTTCCCTCTTTTTTAGCATAAATGGATACATAATGGCTCATCCTTTGCAGATACCATAGACTGTAAATGCATTTCAAAATATAAAATATGTATGACTGGTCAAAAAGTGTTATTTAACATGCAATATGTTGGTAAGAGCTTCGAAAAAAGTTATTTATGTTATATTTGATAACAAAATATTAATAGATAATGTAGAAAATTGTCATGAATTCGAACTTTTTACATAATAATAGGAAGGCTAAAAGATGGTGAAGCATCATGTTTGGCAAAGATTAAAGAAAGAATTTCATTTATTAAACACTATAAGAATCTACTGAAGGATAGCCATTTAAAGTTGAATATTTAAGAATGTACATAATCTATTATGAACTCTCCACAAAAGAATTTCTTATACTCTTTGGAGATATTTTTTACTACTCTTATAGTATGTTATTTTTGTTGAGGTTTAGTTTCTCTATTTTTCCTTTTACTTTTTCTTTTATTATGCTTTTGTTGTCAGATAAACTTAAGAAAGCATTGCCAAATAAAATGATTTTCTACATTTTCTTCTGACAATTTTCTACTTTTACATCTACACTGGTGGTTTTGATCTATTTCAAGCTATATTCTGAATATGATAAAAATAAGGTTCCAACTTTATTATCTTATATATGGAAATATAGTTTTCATAAGATGATTTATTGGAAAGTCAGTCTTTTCCTTAACTAATGGTTTTGGTACCTTGATAATAAATTGACTATCCTAATAAGTTTGTATTTATTTTTTTTCTTTCTTTTTCTTTCTTGGTTTTTCAAGACAGGGTTTCCCTGTAGCTTTAGGAGCCTTTCCTGGAACTAGCTCTTGTAGACCAGGTTGGCCTCGAACTCACAGAGATTTGCCTGCCTCTGACTCCCGAGTGCTGGGATTAAAAACATGCACCACCACCGCCCGGCTAAATTTGTATTTATTTTAAGACCCTGTTTCTGCTTGGTGGGTCTATATATCAGGCCTCTTTTCAATATCATACTGTTTTAATTACTATAACATTATAGTGAATTTCGAAATTAAGCAGTGCATATTCTCCAACTTTATTCTTCTCTTTTAAAGTTGTTTTGGATATTTGGAGTTCTTTGGAATCTGTATCAATTTAAGAAAAAGGATGGTGGATATGGTCATTTGAATGAAAGTGGCCTCTAGTTTATGAACTGTTTAGGAATGATTAGGAGATAAGGCCTTTTTTGAGGAGGTGTGTCACTGGGGATGGGCTTTGAGATTTCAAAAGCGCATGCCAGACTCAGTGACTCTCCTTCTCTCTCTGCTTGCTACCTGTGGATCAGAATTAAATTTCTCAGCTACTGCTCCAGAGTCCAGTGACCAGTGCCATGCCTGTCTACTTCCCACCATTATGATCATGGACTAATCTTCTAAATTCTCAATTAAATGCTTTCTTTTGTAAGAGTTGCCTTGGTCATGGTATTTCGTCACAGCAATAAAACAGTATCTAAAACAGAAGTTGCCAGGCACTCGATCATTTCTGGGATAGTCCTGAGCTCACCATTGTTTAGAAGAATATGGAATACTCTGGGACTTTGAATGAGAAAAGTTGTTGAATGTTTTAAGTGGGACTTTAGTACATTGAATAAAAATGACCCCCATAAGATCATATATTTAAATGCTTAGTGCTTAGTCACCAGTGAGTGGCAATATTTTAAAGGATTAAAAAGATCAGGAGGTGTGGTCTTGGAGGAAGAATATCACTGGGAATGGGCCTTGAGGATTCAAAAGCCCAAGCCGAGTCTCTTTTCTCTCTCCTCTCCTTCCTTCTTCCTCCTCTCCTCCACTTTCTCCTTTTCTCTTCCCCTTTCTCTCCCTTCTCACTCTCCATCTTCCTAACTCTATGTCTTTCTCTGTCTCTCTCAGCCTGAGGATCAGGATGTAGCTCTCAGCTATTGCTCCAGCATCACCTATCTTATGTGCCATGCTCTCTGCCATGCTCCCTGCCACACTCCCTGCCACACTCCTGCCATGCTCCTGCTACGCTCCTTGCCATGCTCCTTTCAACACTACTCCCACACTCCTTGTTACGCTCCCTGCCATTCTCTTGCCACTCATTGCTATACTCCTGCCACGTCCCCTGCCATGATCTTGCCATGCTCCCTGCACTCTCCTGCCATGTTCCCTGCCATGCTCCCTGCCATGCTCTTGCCATACTCCTGCAATGCTATTGCCACGCTCCCTGCCACACTCCTTGCCACGCTCCTTCCCTGCTCTTGCCATGCATTCACTATACTCCTGCCATGCTCCCTGCTGCTCTCTTGCCATACTTCCTGCCACACTCTTTGCCACGTTTTTGCAATGTTCCCGCCATGCTATTGCCACACTCTTGCCATGCTTCTGCCATGATCTTGCCACACTCCCTTCCACACACTAGCTATAGTCCTGCCACACTCCAATCACGCTCCCTGCCATGCTCTTGCCACATTCTTGCCATGCTCCTGCCGCGTTCTTGCCACACTCCCTGCCATGCTCATTACCATGTTCCATGCCATGCTCCATGCCACACACTAGGTGTAGTCCTGCCATGCTCCCACCACGCTCTTGCTATACTCCTGCAATGCTCCTTACTACATTTCCTGCCACGTTCCCTGCCACGTGATTGCCGTGCTCCCGTCACACTCCTTTTCATGATCTTTTTTAAAGGGGATCTTAAAAGAGATTTATTTTTGAGAAAATTATGATTGAACAACTTTTACAATTTTAAAAATGAATGAAAGGCTAACTGAAAGCTGCTTACTGAATATTAAAAATAATAATCTCAGTATGGGTTTAAAGAACTATTTTTACATCAGGAAAAATGAAGAAAGAATAGATAAGACATGCTAGTTTCATGCTGCTGAGTCTACCTTCAATATATGTTATTTCCCTCCACTTTATTTTTGCATATAAGAGTAATTTTTTTATTAACAATTTCCGCCTCCTCCCTGCCTCATTTTTCCCTCCCCCTCCCCTCACTTCCCACACCCACTCCTCTTCCCCTCCCCTTCAGTCTAAACAGCAGTCAGGGTTCCCTGCCCTGTGGGAAGTCCAAGGTCCTCCCCCCTCCATCCAGGTCTAGTAAGGTGAGCATCCAAACAGGCTAGGCTCCCACAAAGCCAGTACATGCCGTAGGATCAAAACCCAGTGCCATTGTCCTTGGCTTCTCATTAGCCCTCATTGTTCGTCATGTTCAGAGAGTCCGGTTTTATCCCATGCTTTTTCAGTCCCAGTCCAGCTAGCCTTGGTGAGCTCCCACTAGATCAGCCCCACCATCTCAGTGGGTGGGTGTACCCCTCGCGGTCCTGACTTTCTTGCTCATGTTTTCCCTCCTTCTGCTCCTCATTTGGACCTTGGGAGCTCAGTCCAGTGCCCCAGTGTGGGTCTCTGTCTCTATCTCCATCCATCACCAGATGAAGTTTCTATGGTGATATGCAAGATAATCATTAGTATGGCTATAGGATCGGGCCATTTCAGGCTCTCTATCCTCTGCTGCCCAAGGACCTGGCTGTGGACATCTCTCTGGACCCCTGGTAACACCTATAGAGTCAAGACTCTTGCCAACCCTAAAATGGCTGCCTTAATTAAGATATATACTTCCTTGCTCCCATATCCACCCTTCCTTTATCCCAACTATCCCATTCCCCCAAGCTCTCCCCAACCTCCCCTTCTCACTTTTCTCTCCCCATCTCCCCTTTCCCCCATCCCACCCCAACCCCCCCCCCCCAGTTCCCATTTTTTGCCCAGCAATCTTGTCTACTTCCAATATCCAGGAGGATATGTTTTTCTTTGGGTTCACCTTCTTAATTAGCTTCTCTAGGATCACGAATTATAGGCTCAATGTCCATTATTTATGGCTAGAAACCAGTTATGAGTGAGTACATGCCATGTTCATTTTTGGGTCTGGGTTACCTCACCCAGGATAGTGTTTTCTATTTCCATCCATTTGCATGCAAAATTCAAGATGTCATTGTTTTTTTTTTACCACTGAGTAGTACTCTAATGTGTATATATTCTACACTTTCTTCATCCATTCTTCCATTGAAGGGCATCTAGGTTTTTTCCAGGTTCTGGCTATTATAAATAATGCTGCTATGAACATAGTTGAACAAATACTTTTGTAGGATGATAGGGCATCTCTTGGGTATATTCCAAAGAGTGGTATTGATGGGTCCTGGGGTAGGTAGATCCCAAATTTCCTGAGAAAGCGCCACACTGCTTTCCATAGCAGTTGCACAAGTTTGCATTCCCACCAGCAATGGATGCGTGTGCCCCTTACTCCACATCCTCTCCAGCAAAAGCTATCATTGGTGTTTTTGATTTAAGCCATTCTGACAGGTGTAAGATGGTATCTCAAAGTTGTTTTGATTTGCATTTCTCTGATCACTAAAGAGGCTAAGCATGATCTTAAGTGTCTTTTGGCCATTTAAACTTCTTCTGTTGAGAATTCTCTGTTCAGTTTAGTGCCCCAATTATTAATTGGGTTAACTAGCATTTTAAAGTCTTGTTTTTTGAGTTCTTGTATAAATTTTGGAGATCATAACTTTGTCTATTGGGGGTTGGTGAAGATGTTCTCCCAGTCAGTGGGTTGTCTTTTTGTCTTAGTGATAGTGTCCTTTGCTTTACAGAAGCTTCTCAGTTTCAGGAGGTCCCATTTACTCAATGTTGCCCTTAATATCTGTGCTGCTGGGGTTATATGTAGGAAGTGGTCTCCTGTGCCCCCGTGTTGTAGAGTACTTCCCAGTTTCTCTTCTATCAGGTTCATTGTATTCAGACTGATATTGAGGTCTTTAATCCATTTGGACTTGAGTTTTGTGCATG